CTTTACTAGATTTTTCTTTTTGTCTTAAATGTAAAATGAACATGTTCGATGGAAGAGCAGGGGCATCGCTGCCTCCCTTCCAGGGTTGTTGTTCCCTGCAGAGATCGTTAGAGTGCTCTGTGTTGGAGAAGATTAGATGAAGGGAGCTGCTGCAGCAAGGTACTGTTTCAAAATCTCAGACTGACTGTTGTTTTCTTTGTTTTTCCATCATCCAACAGCTTGTTTCTCCCTTAGTTTCCATGTGTGCATTTGTGTAGGTGTGTGTGTGTTAGCTGACTTTTGCTTAGTTCAGTGGGTCATGTGCTACACACATAAGCAGATAGTGACATGAATGCACACACACATACATGTGTCTGCACGAAGAACTAATCACTGTGGACTGTTTGATGAGTGTGAGATTGTATAAATAAAATACTAGTTACAGAAAGCACAGAGCAAAGACCAAGGAAACAGATGATACAACTGGATCTCTAATTAGGCATCTTCATCCCCTCCATCCTATTGCTTACCTCTCTCTTACATATACAGCCACGGTTGCTGCTGAATGTAGGTCAGCACTGTGGAGAGATGTGAAAGTGAATGATAAATCAAAGTAACTATTTCCCTAACGCTAAACAATAGTGCAAGGCAGCATGCAAGCTAACAGGTAGACATATCACAAACACCATTGTGCATCAGGACTTCAGAGGAGTTCACAGTGACTTGATCAAATGATACTTACCCCACTGTAAAATGTACTAATTTATGCTTTTGGGACTAGCTTGTAACCTCCCACTTCCCCCCATCACCATCAGAAATGCCACCATCCTCCCCCCACACACAGGCTCACGCCAACTGTTGACTGGAGAATGTACAGCGTATATTAAATGTTCTCATGCCTGTGCTCTGTTTGGATTCTTTTCACACAATGCCACCTTATTTACATGCAGGGAGAGCCACACTTTTGTTTTCCTGTCCACCTATCGAAAGCATGTATATGAGAATACATAAACAAATAGCTCCTGGTATTGTCTCTACATCAGAAAATCAGCTGTGACATTCATTTCTACTCATACTGCTGGCTTCTGCAGCGATGCACCAGTGATTTATTTCTCCTCTTGCTCGTGTAATTGACCAGGTGTCAAGTCGAATCAGTGGCAGCAGCCAACCTTCCCACAGAGGACGGTAACTCGACCGCGAGACCTCAGATTAAGAATTTTAAAGAGGAGACAAAACATGACAGAGGAACATCTCTAACCAGTAAATTACTCAACTGCCTTTCTTAGGACGTGTCTGTATGATGCAGTGTGTTAACTGTTTTGTGTCATTTGGTTAATGATAATTATGATTGTGTATGTATGTATTTTAGTGTTTTTATTTTTGTTGCTTTTGTTGTTCCATTGAAAATAAAACGGGGCATCCGAAAGATGATCATTTCAAGCCATGAACAAAGGACAAACAATTTTAAAACCTTTGTGAAAGGTGTGATTGTGTGCAGTCAGTTAACCTATTAAATCTGGACCTAATTCACTATGCAGAACTTGGGGATTTAAACTAAAAGTCTTCACATTG